CCTCAACAAATTTAAAATAATTCAAATCCTACAGAATGTCTCCTCCAGTGGCAATGGAATCAAACTAGAAAGCAATAAAGAATTCATGAGAACATCTCAAAGGGGAGGAAAAGTGCTGGCTCCCCGCTGGGCCTTCTCTGACACTACCCAGTGGGGTATTGAGGCTCCTGCATACAGCTTGGGTAGAAATCTAGGCTCCCACTCAGCTATTGATGATGGGTTTAGGGTGGGGTCCCATTTTTTCTTTGTTGTTTGACTAGAGTGGAGTGGTTATTGACTAAAAATTTTCTGTCTTGCTAGGCTTCTCCTTTGTTTTTCCTTTGGGGCATATGTTAGGGCGTTCTTGCGTTGCTCTAAAGGAATACCTGCAGCTGGATAATTTATAAAGAAAAGAGGTTTAATCAGCTCACAGTTCCGAAGGCTGTGTAGGAAGCATGGCACCGACATCTGCTCACTCCTGAGGAGGCCTCAGGAAGCTTCCAATGATAGCGGAAGGCAAACAGGGAGCCAGCATCTCACATGGTGGGAGTGGGAGCAACAGAGAGTGAGGTGACACACACCTTTAAACAACCAGATCTCGTGAGAATTCACTCACTATTGTGAAGACAGCACCAAGGGGATGGTGTTACAGCATTCATGAGATAGATTCGGCCTCCATGACCCAGTCACCCTTTTCCATCAGGCTCCACCTCCAACATTGGAGATTGCAATTCCACATGAGATTTGGCACGGACACAGATCCAAACCATATCAGGACTTTTTTCTTTTTTCCACCTGTGCTCTTTGGTGTTTCTGGGTTGCTGACTTGTTTAGCTCCAAGTCTGGAATTTATGAGGCAAAATAAAACCCAGGCAACTCACCACCATCTTGTTTCTTGGGTTCTGTGGCCCCAAAGCCAGGGCACGTTCTTCTTTTCACCTTTCAGAAGTGAAAGTCTTGGTCTGCTGTATTTTTGGCAGTTCTCTAAGCAACATTGAGTTCACTGAAATTCGAGGACTATTGAATTTGCATCTGAGTCCCATGTTCCCTGGGTCAAGGCCTGAGTCTCCCGTGTTTACCACACATGCCCTGAGCAGAGCACAGGCGGTCCTGGTCAGTCCTCACAAAGGTCTCCCAAGCAGCCTCACCCATGCTCAGTGCTGCACGCATTCAGCAGCTGACTTGCCCACTCCTCGGTCCCCTCCTGATGAGCTTCCCCTTGTTTCCTCAAGCAAAAGCTCAGACTCTCCCCTGAGGCCTCCAGAAGGTGCTTGAAAGCTCTGCATCAAATGCACTGCAGAGAAACCCCTTTCTACTTCTCCCCAAAAAGCCAGCCCCCATCCCTCAGCCAGGGCTAACTCCTGGGCTCCAGCCTTCAGCCCAGCACCCCTCCTGTCTTCTGTGTCCTTTTGGTGCCCGTCCACCACCCACCTTTCCTGATAGAGGGAGGATGGGCCAACCAGGGGAAGGCACAGCACTGCCCAGGCTCAGCCATTCAGCAAGCTCTGCGGAGGAAAGTGACTGCTCCTTGGGTCTTCTCTGTCCCAGGCTTTTAGTGAGTACAGCCTCACTGAATCCTCCCAACTCTTCAAAGATAGGACTCTATAGTGCTGATTAACAGAGGAGGAAATGGGGACTCAGGAAGGTTCAGTCACCTGCAAAGGTCACATCGCTGGTGAGTGGCAGGGCTGGGACCAGGAGCCAAGTGGCCTGACTTGAGCCCAGGCTCTTCCACATACGAAACGTCGCAGATGTGCTCTTCCCTTAGAGACCCCAAGCCTCAGCGAGGGTCTGAGTGTCCGTCTAGAGACCATTATCAGACCCCGAGGCACAGCAGGCACAGGCCCCGATCTGACCTAAGCCCTCTTGGTGGTAACCCTCATTCTGGCCCATTTGGGCAGCAGATGCGTACCCAGCAACTTGAAACAGAGAAGCAAGAAGCCGGCTGACATCAGATTTTCCGAGGGGCTTATGGGTTTCTATTTTCCCCTCATTTGAAAAGCCAAGGTGGGTTTACAGTTAGAACCACCCTTTCCTCTACAATGCGATTAAGCTGCTTCAGGGAAAAATGGCTCTACTGGCCCTTGGATACCATTTCTGAGAAACAATGGGAGGAGATAATGTAGGTTCAGCAGACCTCCTGTCTCTGGTGCCTGGCTGGCTTTGAATGTGGGCCGAGAACTGGTGTGTCGTTGGTTTCCAGACCAAGCTGGTCCCCGCCGCTCTGGGTGAAGGCTTTAGCTAGGTGGGATTCTTGGGCCTTGATTTAGTACATACCGAGTTGTTTGGGTCTTCAGAAAAAATAAATAAATAAAAAAGAGAGAGAAAAAGAAATATTTCCAGGATTTCAGTTACAGTCCTCATGTTAATGATACTAATGATAATGACAAACCAACTTTCACTGAGGCCCACAGTGTGACAAGTCACTCTGGTGTCTGTCTGCCGGTCCTGTGAAGCAGGCACTGTTATTGCCCCACCCATTTTACAGATGTAACAGTGAAGGTCAAGAGCAACTTCAAAGTAGCCCTGTTTTCATTAAATGCTTCCAAAATCCAGATTCTTGTTTTAGTGTGAACTGTGTGCTCAGGAGAGTAAATGGCATAGACATAGGTGTAGCTAGGAATGCAACAATGAATATGTGTTGAATGAGGGAAGGAGTAAACTTGTTTCTTCTTTGTGATGAGCTTACATCTTTGATGTCATTTAGTTCAACTTTCCACTCAGTGTGAAAATCCTTTCTGTAACACCCCTGGTGGGTGATCATTCACCTTGAATGCCTCCAGAGACGGGGAGCTCATTACCTCCCGAGGCAGCGCTTTCTACCCTTGGGCAGCTTTAATCCTCAGAAAGGACAGAGGTTTATTATTCTGAGCTGAGCTCTGCCTCTCCACGCTGGATGATGATTGGTTCTCATTCTGCTCTTTGCTGTGGTCAAGCTTCTCTCACTGCTGTAGGTTTGTCCTAAAAATCAAAAGAGGCCTGCTCCTTCTCCTCCAGATTTTTCCTTTTGGGGACTTGAGTGAAGGCTGGCCAGAGAGGTGAGAGTCTGAGACCTGGACACAGAGTGGGTATTTGAAGGAAGGGGCTGTGTATGTTCAGCCTAAAGAAGCTAAACTGTCACAGAGGTGAGGGCGTATGATTGGAGCCCTCAGCTATTTTTAAGGCATTGCAGATGCTAACGAACAAATAGCAACAGCAATAATAATAAAAAGTTACTTACTGTGGTGCTGGGTGCTGGGCTGAAAGTTTTCCTCGTATCATCTCATTTGAACCCCTCAGCAACCCTCTGGGGTGACTGTCAAACTCCCCACCTTACAGACAAAGGAACTGAACCCCCGGAAGCTCGATGCCCCCGGCTGGGATGCAGACCTCAGGCCGTCTGACTGGAGCCGCCCCGTGCCCCGCACACCCCTGCTCTATGGCTGACAGTAGAAGCTGCAGGAAGACCGGCAAGTGTCTGCTTAACTGAAGCTCTTTCTAGAATGATAAATGGTGGGCAGGGAGAACCAGTTGCCTGGCAAGGAGGCGAGTGCCCAGGAGGCAGTGCAGTTGGGAAGGACCCGTGGTGTGGACGGCCTTTGGGGCACATGAATCCAGTTGAATCTGATGAAAACTGAATTGCTGAGGTAGCCTTCACGAGAAGAAAAGGAGGCTGAGGAGTGGTGTGTGTGGCTGTGGGGTGGGGTGGGGGTGGTGTTTCCCACAAATCTCTGGACCAGGTATGTTTCAGCTGCAGCTGGAAACTCCTTCTCCTCTGGTGCCTGCATCTTTAGGTGTCCCCTGGATGCCGGGATTCCCCAAAATGGCAGTCCTCAGGGGGCAGTCTTGGCCTTGTTTCCAGGAGCCAGTTGTCAGAAGCTAGGAACGGGAGAAGGGTCTATGGGCATTTGGGGTAATGGGTCATTTGCTTGGGGACATCCAGGCCTCCCATCTGTGTCTGCTCATACCCTAGTCCCCTGCCTGGAAGGACTCCTCACCCCTCTTTCCAACTAGGGTGCCCCTTGGAGCCCCCTGTCCATCCTTACTGCAGGAAACCCCCTGGGAGGCAGCTTGTGTGGGCGCCTGGAGAAAGGAAGTGTCAGGGTGCATCGTCGGTGAGGCCTTCCCCGGCTCACGGGGAGCGGCCAGCCTGGTCCTGCCATTGGCAGGGCCCTGACAGCTCCCCCGGGAGCAACGTGCCTGTGGTGGCAGTAGCGAGCAGGGAGGGAATCCCAGAGCATGCAGGACCGAGTCCCTTCTCTGCCAGCTGCCTAGGTCGGCCACCACCCAGACCTCCTGTGCATCCACGCACACTCAGTGGTGGACACTGGGTCTTTCTGGGCTGAAGTGTTTCCCCTCTGTGGCAGGGACCGCAGCGCCCAGCTTGTAGAATTCAGGAGGTGATGCATCTGGCACACAGTTTTGCTCTGTAAATCAGAGTTGATTACCGCCCTAGAGAGCATGGCTAAGGGCATCTATACTGGGTTCATTCAAATCCTGACTCTATCCCTTCCTAGCCAGGGGCATCTAAGTGCTCTGTGCCTCAGTTGCCTTCTCTGTATAATGGAGATAAAACACTTATTAGCACATGGCCTGGCTCATAGTATGTTTGCAATAAATAGTTACTATGGTCATTGTGATTCCCATGATGTTGGCCTCCAACAGCACTGCAGCTTCAGTTGGAGGCTTGGGAAGCTTAATGGGAAAAGGGAAAGAGCAGGAAAAGGGGACATGAAAGCAGTGTGGGGGACTCAAACACCGCAAATATTCGTGGAGCCACTGATGTTTGCCAGGCTCTTTTATAAACATGTGATTTAATCTTTCCCAAAACCTGTGCAATGGGCATCCTTCTGTCTCCATTTTCTATTATGTGTGGTGAGATGAGCCTCAGGGAAGGCAAGTAACTCACCCAGGGTCACACAGCCCATCACAGCTCAGTCAGGGCCCCAGGAAGGACAGTCCCGTGGCTTGGAGTGTTGGGAAGTTTGCCTTCATTCAGTCCTGCGAAGCCTCAGAGGAAAGGCTGAGCTTGGTGCTGTCACCCTGTGTCCCTCCAGGTCATAGTGTGGCTGGGGCTTTCGGGCCTTCAGTTTTCTTCCTGCCGAGTTCAGGAAGAGCAGGCTCTGAGTCACTGGGGCCCCGGCTGGTGATGGGGGCTTAGACACGTGGATGGTCCATTGCTGCCCTCCAGGGATGAGGCTCAGGACAGTGCCCTGGCTCCTGTCAAGGTGGCTCTGTGGTTGGTCGGGGCCTACTCCTCTCTCTGGCCACAGCTCTGGGCCTTTTTCCACGCAGCCTGCTTTGAGCTCTCCCTGGACTTTGGGAGCAGCATGAGATTTTTCCACGCTTCCGGCTCTGTCGCCAACAAGCTGAACAGTGACTTGGCGTCAGGGTGGCAAAGAGAATAGGTGCCTTACTGGGAATGGGCAGTGGCGGGGGGGGCAGGGAGAGGGAAGCTAGAGGGTGGACAGGACCTCCTGGCAGGGGCAAGAGCAGCCCCAGCTCCCGCCTTCCTGGAACCCTTCCGCCGTGGAGCCCCCCAGGCTGAGGAGGCCTCATAGGGGCCATTTCACAGACCAAGAGGCTGAGTCACTTGCCCAAGGTTGGGCCTCTGGTGAGTGAGAGGCTGCAATTGGACTGGTCAGGGTGACCCGGGGCACACGTTCTCACCACCTCACCACAGTGCTCTCTTCCCATGACAGCACCCTGCCCAGAGGATGGTGGCTGGGCCAGGCGCTGCCCCTACTGCCTCACAGGCCTCTCGGAAGTCAGAGATGGACAGGGGTTTAGGTAGTCCCTCCTCCCTCCTGTCCTCATGGATGGATGCCTGTGCCCTCCCTGGATTTTCTCACGGTCCAAAGGGGAAGGGTTAGCCCCTGGAGAGTATCTTATCTCTTGTTTGATGGATGGTCCAGAGAGGGTGAGTGGCTTGTCTGGGGTCACAGAGCAAACTGGAGTCAGGGCCACCCAAATACAGGAGTCCTGACTCCCAGGCACTCATGCACTTGCGGGGCGGGGCTTGCACTGTCTTCCCTGCTTCCCAGGAAGATACCTTATGGGTAGATGTGGGAGGAAACAGGCCGGCCTTGACCAGTCCCATCCACTCAGCTGTTAAATATTCTGGGAATCCATAAAACTGACAGCCCACTGGTGGGGATGGTCGTGGCTCCCAAGTGTTCCCCGCTACCCAGCAGGGATACATGGGGAAGCCTCCAGTGCAGAAATCGTGCTCTGCCAATTCCTGTGTCTCCAGCTATTCCCCATCTGAAGAGTGAGGTGGTTAGACCAGGTCCCTGGTTTTCTTCCAGCCACCCGCTGCTGGAATGCCAGGAGCTCTCTTCTGTGCGGGGGGGGGAAGCTGCCGCTGGCCTCAGCTTCCCCATCTGTGAGATCGGGCTCCGTGCCTGTCTTGTTGGACTCATCAAGAGACCCATGGGGAGGAAGGGGCTTGCAAGGAGAGCAGCTAAGGAAAAGCCGGAATTGTCCAAGCCCTCTGTCCCTCCCTGTATCAGCAGCAGGCGACCTGCCCACCAGCTGGGGCCTCCCATTCCGTTCCATTCCCTTTAAGTAAGCTCTCTCCCTGTGCAAGGGAGCAACCGATCTCAAAGGCCCGGCCCACAAAGGGGCCCCCGACATGGCTGGGAACAATGCGGCCTGTTTACCTGACAGATTGTCCGCTTTCTTTTCATCTCGTAGGAAAAGAACTCCCGCGGGGAGCCGCTAATCCCAGAGTAAACAGATGACCTCGTGGTGCCTTTCTCCCGGAGGTGGGGTTCCTAGTGCAGCACCCCAACTGTGCAAACAGACCCTGGAGGGCTTGATGCGCCTGCGGGGGCGTGGCTGGGGACCTGGGCCTGGGCCAGGAGGGGCCTTTCCCTCTTGCCAGCCCTCTTTTCTTCCTTTGTGATTTCAATTGAATGGGGAGAAGCTCAAAGGCAGGGGCATGAAAGGTCAAAGCCAATTTGCAGGGCCAAGT